TAAGCCCTCACCTGCAGTCTCCTTACTGTGTACGTCTGGCTGGGGATTTTTCTTCCTTAAATAGGTTGACCTTGTGTGCACGGTTATGTTCTAATAATGATGGCGGAACACTAGCAAGAAGCAAGTGAGTCTTTTAATGTCTAAAAACAGCCGTTTGATTACAGAGGATTTGAGAAAGAAGTCCTGGCTAAAGGAGAGAAATGCTGGGTATTCCTCTGTCTTACTTGGCCAGATAATAATCCTGCAGAGATTAGGGATGAGCAGGGGTCAGGAGTAAATCTGTCCAGCAGGCAGATTTACCTGCTGCCCTCTGAAGCAGACCACTGGATTGGACAGACTGAGGGGCAGTTTAAAGAAACTGAGGACTACTTCAGTTTTGGCAGTGTGAACTGCAGGTCAGTTTCAGATGGTCTCACCACGGCTTCTGGTGGTACTGCTCTGTTTCATCCATATAAGCTTTCGGTGCATGTGCCCAAATACAGATGAAATGAATGCAGAGTACAAACAGAAGCCTCTGTCCATATCAGTATTTAACATTGAGCATTTATGAGCCTACAGTCACAAAGTCATGGTATCCTTTTTTTGTCAAAGGTTTTCAAGTTTTTTTTTAAACAGGTAGCAGGGGCTGCACAGCTTCAGATTTTGTAAAGTTGACAGTTATGTGATAAAAGTTGAGTTGACTGACTAATCGCTGGTGATGTCATGAATAAACACAGGAGAAGGGAATGCTTTGCAATAAGCGACTTTAAAAATCCAGAACAAAGCCAAGCTCTACAGGTTTCTAGCGCTAGCCTTCAGGCAACTAGAGAGATGAAACCCAGAATCTCACAAATTTGTATTAAACTTAGGTGCATCCTAGAAGGTCTTGCCGAGACGGCGAGGTCCAGAGAGCCAGAGAAATTTAGAGAACTGTAACTCGTTGAAAATAAGAGTAATCAACTTCAAACTTTACAGCATTATAGTGCATTATGCCCCCTCTCCAGCCACACAAGACTTTTTATTGTAGTTTTCTGGAAACATGAGATGTTCATCATCTGATCTTTGAAGCACTGTAGATCGGCAGAGAAATGTTAGAATGAAGCTAAACTTCACAGGTCAGTAGTAGAGCATGATGTGGCCTTTCCAATAGCTCCACATTGCTAGCCTTCAGGAAACGAGAGATATGGACCCTGAAGTCACTGGGCTTCTCACCTGTTTGCTTCTCTGAGGCGATCATGTTGTTAGTGTCATAATCATGTGATCAGTGACTAGTTGGCATCAAACTTAAAGCATCATCGCTGAGCAGTGAATTCAATAAGTTTACTAGTTGATTAGTCTGTGCAACCCCTAGTTAGTAGCAAGAAAACAAGATGAGTGCTTACAGAGTTTCTCACAGGTTTTGACTATTGCCTGCTCCTGTATGTTACACTGCAGGTTTGTGATTGGTTGTTCTGCATTCACATTGACATTTGCACTTTCTTGTGAAAGTAGGCAGATCATGGCCACATTGAGTAACGAAAGCTTGCAGATTCTCTGATGATAACCAGAAGCATGACTTGAGAGACAATAGACAGAAGTGTTCTAGTGTTCTGGGAGGTTGCTATTTACAGAGTATTACCTAGTAACTAGAGACAGAGGAAGGCTAGTATTTATAGTCCATAACTGATGTTATATGAACATACATGTATTTCTCACCGTGTGTGCAGGTATATGCATGCACCTGCACACACATCCACCTTCACACACTCTCATGCACCTCTTCAGTGCCTAAACCCTGCAGCGCTGATGCTGGATTACATCATCTCCACCCCTCCCTCCCTCTCCCTCTATTCCCCATGGCATGTGCCTCACACTTTGAGCTTGTGAGGGTGAGAATATCACAGGAACGTTACAGCAGAAGCAGCAGTGGTTCAGAGCAAGACAGCAGCAGCTAGCTGGGATCAAATCCTCTCTCTGACAGGCCAACGGAGCGCCTCTCACTCAGCGTCACTCTGCTCCTGCATTAGCCTGCAACACTCAGCAGCTTCAGCACAGCACAGCCTGCTGCACACTCTCTCTCCTTCACCGTTATGAGCGTTCCCCAAGGCTTGGGGAATTCATCACCAGGCCACATGCATAAATTCATGCAGTTACGTAAACGCTTTTTTTGCTGTGTTTTTTCATAGCATGGTGGGCTGCAGTAACATCACACAGAAAGAAGAGAAGACTGCAACTGCACTGGACACGTATTAATGACATTAATGAATGACCTCATCTAACTTCCGCAAGCCGCTGCTAATTGGGCTTTTTCACAGCACAGATTAAGTGTGAAATAGAGGCATAAATGGTCTGTCATATGTTCTGAATGGCAGTGATAGCATGCAGCTAAACTAATGGAAAAAATAATGGATAAAAACAAATGTCCGAAACAGTGAAATTTATAACTGTGTCAGCGGTGCGGCCCTTGCTGTCTTCTGAGTTTCTCTGATTCATGGAAACTATGACTAAAACTAAGCATCTGACTAAATCTAACCAGGGTAAAGTGAGCGGGGTGAGGGGAGGAGCTTATTCTATGTACACACTCACATTCAAATGATTGAGCTTCTTTCTGAAGTTGCTTACAAATTTTACATTTTGTATGTGTAAATCTATAAACTCGTATTTTTCTGTGTTATGTATTTGGAATGCACTTTCTAAGAGAATTAGGGCTAAAAAAAATGAACTGACCTAAGAATTGAAAAATGTATCAAATCTGAAAATATGTTTATCATTACACCATCATTGCTGAGCGAAATATCATCCATTGTTGGTGTCACCCAGCAACACAGATTGTTAGTTTTAGTGGAATTTTTGGTAAGAAAGTCTTAGTAAATGACAATGTATATCTTTTGCTGGGTGCTTAAGAACAGTTTAAAATATGCAAAAAAATTAATAAATCAAATTTCCTTTCTGTAAAGCTGGTTTCAGTCTGATTTTCTGATGTAGTATGTAGACGCTGCTAAACTTTAAGCGCACTACTCACTTTCTGGTCCTTATATGGAAATGAAGCTGCATGTTTGCAACATGTCACAAAAAACAACACTTATGTATCTGTCTATTATCCCAGAGCAGTTTGGCTTCATCCATTCATGGTGAAGTTATAAGGAATGTTTCAGTCTGCACTGATTTTTTACTGACACACTATACAGGGCAGCCAATCAGATCATTTACATATATCAATCTTAAAGGTGCAGTAACAAAAACAATAATAATAATAAGGGATAAAGAGATGTTGAAAAATGATGGTGTAAAAATAAATAATGGCTGTTTTTGGCACATAAACACATACAAACATCATAAGGTGACCTTAGGGACAAGGACACACAGTGTTATTTACACGAGCACTGCCATTATGAAGCTTCATAAGCCATTTGATTGCTAATGGCACCCCCTTATGGAGAATGTGTAGCCTGCTAAACATGAAGGAATGAGTAAGTGAATGAGTGAGTGATTCAGCGAGTGAACAACTAACTTTTAGTTAGTTAGTTAATTAATTAGTTAGTTACAAGGCAGTTCCATGAGGTACTTCGCATCTAAAATATTACAATTTTTGAGCCCTTTAAGGAAAGGAAATGATAAAACCTGTCCAATCAAAACAAGCTATACCACGTATGTAAGAAGTATGGAGTTCATTAATTTTATTAACGCAAACTATCAGGGTACCATGATATAATTTGAAAATATTGTGATGCTGAATTTCATCAGTATTATCTAGCACTGAGCTCAGCCTTTGCTGTGCGGCCTGCTGTGGTTATAACGTGACTGTCGCTGTTGATAGAGCAGAGTTGTGCTCTCAGAGACAAACAGCACTGATGTTAGTGTGTTAGTCACATTGGGGGACGGGGGCTCACACACACAGACACACACAGACACACATACACACTTCTGATAAACTGGCCTGTCAACACTCCACCCTGTCTGTGCTGAGCTGCCAGATTTAAGACCAGACTCAGTACACACACACATACACACACACACAAGTCACTCATACTCACATACACACTCACAGGCAGATTGCTGCAGGGCTCTTGTCGTCTCATACTTCCCCCCTCTGTTGCAGGGCCAGCCGATAAGGCAAATCAGTATTTTTCAATCTGCCCTCACACAGACAGCTAGTGCTCCCCTCTCACACACACACACGTACACATGCACACACACCCAACACTCCGCTCCAGTCTACACAGTACGAGACAGTGAGATGGGCCATCCAGATTTAGAAATGTGATCCAGCGACCTCAATACATAGCCACAATAAGCAAAACCTGCCTGCTTCCCAGTGTAATGGCAGAATGTAAATGCTCTTTAGATTTCTCAGCAGATGCTGCAGTAAGGGAAGGCAAAGCAGGCTTCTGAGATTTTCAAAGAGTTGAGTGTTCATTGCATAAGCAAGGCAGTTCCCCAGTCTTTTGGGGGTCTGTAGCCAAGGTCACCAGTAGCAAGCAGCTATCTGTTCTGCACAGTGTGAACAATGAAGAGCCTTTTAAAGTAATATAGTCAACCCTTGAAAGTTCATGGAATGCCAAGTTATTCAAATTCTTTGGTTTTACCAGCACAGCATTTCCTGGTGGCCGATGAACCGCTAAATGACCTGCCCCTACACTTTGTTCAAAAACAACAGTTAGCTGTTGGCAATTCTGCGTTTCAATTAAATTTCCCCTTACCGTCAAAATGTGCAGTTCTTGGCCCTGTTGAACAACAAAACCCATCAGATTCCTTGCCAAAAGCCAATAGTGAAGTGGGAGACAACCCTCACTCTACTCCAAGCCTGATTATTACACAAAAGGTGAGTGACCCTTAGAAACTGATGACCCTTAGCGACACTAACATATTTGACATGGTTCTGCATGTATATTTTAGCATTATTAGCCACTACCTTTAGCCACTGCTGGTACACTGTTGACATTGGATGGCGATGAAAGCGATAATATACACAGTGATTTAAACATCATAAACAGCTCTGTAAAGTAAACACAGCCTGTGACGAGAGGAAAACAGAAACTCACCGTTCACTGTGAGGTGCACCCAGCTGCCATTGTGGAAGGTGTCGTACTGCTGCTCCAGCATCAGAACCTTGCACTCGTACCAACCCTGGTCTTCCGAGCGCACCCTCTCAATCCGCAGAGATGACTTTCCATGCAGGGTGGCTCGACCTGGGGAAGGAAGGCATTTTGAGTTTTTTTTCAGTACAATACTCCTGCTTATATTTATACTGTGTAGAAAGTGATCTACAATTAATTTTATGTCATTCTGTTCTCTTGGTTCAGCAACTGGACTGCTTTACTGTTGCTCAGACATCTCACTTTGTAACTTTTTTTTAGAGTAAAAGATCCCAAAAACATCTGAATAGCACTTGACAATCTTCAGTTTCTGTGCTTATAGATGTATTAGGACGTTCTGGTGCAGCACCTGAGAAATTTACTTAGTACTTAAGGTTCAACGTGGAAGAGAAACTAGCCTTTTTCCTGATACTTTTGAGTCATTGTCAAAGAGCACAAGGAAAAGACTAGTTTCTCTTCAACCTAAGTCCATATATGATTGTAACAACTTTTGCTTGAGTACTGAATTAGGCTACTTTTCTCAGCTCTGGTAGTTTGATATCAAATGGAACAAATGCATCAGAAAGAAAGAAAACCAAGAGATTTGGGAGCAACGGTTCCTACCCTGGTCCTGGAGTCTTTCCCTGCAAATTATGGTGTTTTTCTGCTCTAATGTATTCAGCTAATCAGCTAATTGACAAGCCCTAATTCAACTGAATTGAAGTGGGTGTGTTAGGCAGAGAAAACATTAACATATACAAACAACAAAATGAAAAGCTAGAAACTACCATCAAATGCCTGCAGGTGGCGATATGACGTGCACATATCCCCACTTATGCGTGTATAATTATAACCACAACAGAAACCATCAACAGTACGTGACACATGTAAACAGTGAGACTGAGCCCTGGGTGAACCAGTGTGTAGAGTGCTGGAGGTCATTACACAGCTCTGCTTCAGTAATGAAATCTAAGTGTTTGTCTTTCTGCCTGAGCGCGCACACACAGCCTGTGCCCGCTGCTGCAGAGCACTGATGAGGGCCTTGTTTGGTGACTCCAGTATTAGGTCAGAGAGTCTGGGCTGTCTCTGTAAGGGGGGATTGGGAGATGAGCGATGGGAGAACAGTCATGGCCCGTGGTCATTTCTGACACTCTATTCCCAGCTCCTTAGAGGAAAAACACAACTCTAACCACAGCAGATGCAGGCAAATCCATCAAGATGCTGTGCTCCTAGCAGCCTAGGTTGCCAGCAATGCTTGCAGTCTTCAAGGGTCAAGCAGTGAAGGGGATTTATGCCTCTTTCTCTGAATTCTGGCAACTGCTCAGAACAGATGGCGGGCAACGATATCAGCTTAGGCAAAGGCAATTCGCATGAAGACAACAGAAGACAGGGATATTATACAGGCCTCTTTACTCTTTGAGAGAACTTTCTTAAATGGTGAAAGTGGCATAATACTGTGGCCTGTCCCACAAGTAAAACACTGGTATCGTCACTGTCATTAGAAAACCATGTAACTCCATTTTTTTGTATATCATCTTTTTTTTTTACAACACTCAAATACCAGCTGCTCTTTACATTGTGTGAACATTTCATGATGAATAGACCAACTAAGATGGTCCAAAATGACTTGAATAAAACATCATAGGGCATTAATATCTGTTGAAGTGCAGAGATTTTCTTATGACAGTGCCAATATAGCATTTACATGATTTTGTGAATAGGATATGCACTATTATATGTTGCTGATATAGGAGTTTTGAGCTGATCCCAATATCAAGAAGTTTCTATCTATTGATGTCAATGCCAAAGCCAATACACACAGATTTATAAAATATATAAACAGGGATTAGCATTACAGAGAGATGTCACACTTATTTATAGAAGGATACAAATGCAATTCTATAAATAAAATGCAGACATTTTAGAACAGTAGCCCAGAGTTCAGCTCTTCCACAATACAATAAATTCATGACCACATAGCTGTATGAAATATTGTTTTTTTATTGAGAAAATATTGATAATTCTTTTTTAAAAATCATCTTCAGATACCAATATTAATCTGATGTTATCATGCATCCCTAGTTATAACACACAACCTCAAGTGTTCTGTTGTGTGTGTGTGTGTGTGTGTGTGTGTGTGTTTAAAGTTATCTTTAACACATAATGACAAAAAAGAATAAAATCATCATTTCTATTGGTATATATGTCAATGAAATATTCACAGAATGTAAAGCGCAGCTGAAGTGAACTGGTATAAAAAATAGAAAAAATAGTGTAAAGCCTGATGATTTCTAGCAAACAATAAAAATATGTATTTTTTGCTCATTTTTATTTAATAGAATTATCATGCTGTATTCAAACTCTGCAAATATTAGTAAATTATAAGTTTAAATACTTAAGAATGGGAATAAAAGGGTTAAAATCTTGAAATGCACCATGGAAAACTGTCTAATCAGGATTATTTTCCTATTGTATCTAAGTATATACAGCCAATTTATCTCTCCCATTGGTTAGGCCTTCAGGAGCTGGACAGATGGCCTTAAAAGTTAGTTTAACTGCCATCTTGAGCATCTCAAGATCATTGCTCTCAATTGGAAAGGGACAGAAGAATGGACCAATCGTGTTTTGATTTACAGTTGGACCAATTTAGTGTGAAAAAATGTCACGGTAGGCCTAGATATGTCACTGACTGTAAATCAAACTATAGGCTAACAAGGTTTGAGTCGGTTGTTATAAATGGAAAACAGCAGCAGCTCTATGTCAGGGCTCTTTATTGAAAGTCACTGTAAAATAATAACATTAATATTGCTTTCAAGCTTCAAATGCTTGTGTACAATGTAGAATAGACTCAAATGTACATGTGAACAAGCGCTAACATACATAATAACCATTAGTGCTAACATACAATGTGAAATGTTTAAGAGGGACCAGAAGAAATTAGCATTATTGTGTTTTTATAATTTATTGATATTCATACCCCAACTCAAGGCCTAGATCTAATAGTCACGATTCACCACTGTGTGACAGTGTTGATGTCCATAAGTGTACAGTATTTGTCGAGCTACAGTATGGGTCAGCACTAGCACTCAGTCAGTGGATCTCTGGAGTGTTGATGATGGCAGAGCTCCAGATGTTCCTCCTGCTCTTCTCTCTCATGCTGACACAGAACTGTCCCGCTGCCATCACGTGGCTGCAGTATCACCATCAGTCTGTCTGCAAAGCTCCACTTATGACTGTTACGTCCTCTGAGACAGGTCAGGATCAACCACACAACCACACAGAGAGCTCCACCACCAAAGACATCTTCACTTTCAGAGAAGTAGGCCGAACTTGAGCATCTCAAGATCATTTGTGTCAGATGGCATGATGTCTATTTAGGCTGAGAGAAGGTCTCTTTCAGATTGCTCACTCAAATCATTGAAAGAGACTCTCCAAAACAGATCTTTTAGGTAGATTTGGGTAAAAAGTTCATCTTCTACTAGCACTAGTATTTTCAAGCTCAGCTGAGAAAGCATGCCACCACTTCCTGGAGACTTACAGATCAATACAGCTGAGCTGGAAATGGGAAAATGGGTTACGGCAGCAGAGTAGCAAAAGGAGAACAGTGGAAAGTCACGGGATGCCTTTAGAGCAATGCTGAAGTGGTGACAGGAGCAGGAGAAACAACACTGACACACTGCTGGTTAAAGATAGTCCTCAGGTGGAGACATTCTGGAGGAGCTGTAGAGGTCAATACAGCAGCCTTGCTTCAAGCTGCTCTCTCTCTCTCTCTCTCTCTCTCTCTCTCTTTCTCTCTCTCTCTCTCTCTCTCTCTGGTGTGTGCTTACGTAACTTCAGTGCTCTCTTTAAAGAAAGAGGACTAGAGAAGGTGACTGTTTCCTTTTTAAAAATATAGACACAGAAGCAGTAGTACAGACACAGCTTTCTTTATATGACATTTTTGCTGCCAAAGCAGGCCTTTAGCATGGAATATCTGTTCAGCACAGATGTTCAGGGACCAAAAAGACATCATTCCCAGAACACTGTATTTACTATTAATGAGCTCGACAAAGCTCTTAGTTATCTGTCATCTTTGGCCATTTCCAGTGATAACTGCACCCTCTGTACAGCTCAAACAGAGGCATGTCAATCGTCATTCTTAAACTTCATTCAGTGAGCAGTTGATGAGAAATGGCCCTTTTGTGGGAGATGAAAGAGTAAGCTTGTCTGGAGCACATCGACCGGCCTGTTCGGAGTGAGACGACTCTCTTTAGTCTACAGTGAACTGTGACCACTGACAGCACTGCCCATGCCTCAGACACACAGGCCCAAACAAAGCAGCACTGTGTGATGGAGGGGAGACATTAGTCTAGAGGAATGGGCGCCTGCCTTAGATCAGAGGAAATGTGGAGCTGTATGAGAATGCTCTTATGTCCAGAGGATGAGGAATCACTAAGACTAAATGCTGCTTTATTCAGGACATAACATAGCTCTCTGCTGGCCAATTGCTAGAGTCATTTATTTAGTTAGATATTTTATAACACACCTATCACATGCAATGGCATCATCCCTTGCTGAATAGACACTTACCAACCTTTTTCTCTATCTATGTGTGCTTTATATATTCAGTCTCACCAGGACCTCAAGGTCTTTGCAGGGGCTTTTCTCAATATTTTCATCAATATTTTATTTATTTATTTTTTTAATTTTTTTATTTTGGACAGGAGGACTTTACAATAAAACTGTAGACATTTTTGATGATTGTGAGCCTGATAATACATATACACTCACTGAGCACTTTATTAAGGACATTATACTAACACCAGGCAGGGCCTCTCTTTGCTCTCAAAACAGCCTCAATTCTACGTGGCATGGAATGTTGGAAACATTCCTTTGAGATTCTGGTCCATGTTGACATGACTGCATCATGCAGTTCCAGCAGATTGTTCAGGTGCACTTTCACGCTGTGAATCTCTTGTTCAACCACATCTCAGAAATGTTCTGTTGGATTCAGATGCAGAGACTGTGAAGGCCACTGAAGAACATCAAAATCAGTCATGTTCATTAAACCAGTTTGAGGCAACTTTGCTTTGTGACATGGTGCATTATCATGCTGGAATTATCCATAAGAAGAT